CCCCCCCCCCTGTCGCCCCGCTCCCCCGCCCCTCCCCCGACCGCAGGCTGGGCTCAACCCTTGCCCAAGTGGCCACATCCGCCGGGGCGCGCCCCTGTGTGCGCCCCTCCCAATCCGCGCGATGGAGAGGTGTGCCCGGTCGACCCCGACGTCCGCCGCCCCGCCCCCCGCCCCCCCCCTATCCCCCGTTCCCCCTGCCCCGGAGGTCCGGACCCGAGGGAGAGACCTCGTCGCGCGCGATGCCACCCGCACCCCCCCACACACAGACATGCATTCGTGGACCCACACGCACACGCACACACTTCAGAAACCGGCCGGGCCTCTAGCCCCGGTGCCCCGGGGGCAGGCACCCATCCCCCCACCTCCCCCCCTCCGCCCCTCCAGATCGCCCGCCCGCCCGCCCGCCCGCCCGCCCGCCCCCCCTCTCCTTGCCCCTCTCGCACCGCCTCCCACCTCGTCCTCCCGCTTCGCTGTTGCGCTCTCATATGGTGCCTTGTTCGTGAGGAGAACGGATCCCGCCGTCTCTGTGAACGCCGCCCCCTGCCCCCTCCCCCGCCCTCCCGGCTGCTCCCATCCCCCAGCCTCTCTGCCTCCTGTCGGATCCGGTTCCCCCTCCCCCCCCCCCCCCCCACCCCCCCCCCCCCCCCAACCCCCCCTCTTTCCCCCACCCCCCCCCCCCCCCCTGCCGTTTCCCCCCCCTCCTCCCCCCCCCCCCCCCCCCCCCCGCCGCCCTTAACCTGAGAACGGTTCCCCCCCCCCCGGCGGGCGGCCCCCGCCCCCTTGGCCAAGGGGCCCCCCGGGTTTCTTTGCCCTTTCCCCCCCCCCCCCCCCCGGCTCCGCTTTGTGGCTCACCTCTCGCCCCCCTCTTCTTGCCCTGTCCCCCTCCCCATCTGCCCTGCCTCGCGGGCTGGGCACCGCCAGGTTCGCATTGTCCAGAAGAAGGACACCAAAAAGATGTATGCCCTGAAGTACATCCACAAGGAGAAGTGTGTGCGGATGCGCGCCGTGCACAATATCCTCGCCGAGCGGCGCCTACTCGAGGAGATCCAGAACCCCTTCATCGTCAACCTGCACTTCGCCTTCCAGGACTCCGAATGTCTGTTCATGTGCGTGTCCCCCTCCCCCCTCCCCCCTCTCATCGTCTCCGCTCGGCTGCCCGGATCCCTGACTCCAAGCCATACGCGCGCCCACACACACACACACACACACACACACACTCGCATGTACACACACGCACCTGCCCCCCCCCCCTCCATTCCCTCCGGCCCCTTCGCCCTTCCCACGCTCCAGGGTGATCGACCTCATGCTTGGTGGCGACCTGCGCTACCGGCTGGACCGCACCGGGCCGCTGGGCGAGCCGTGCGTCCGGTTCTACGTCGCCGAGATCGGAATAGCCCTGGAGTACTTGTATAAGCGGTCAATCATTCACCGTGACATCAAGCCGGACAACCTTCTCCTGGACTCGGATGGTGCGTCGCCTGTCCGCGAGAGCGCGCATCCCCCCCCCCCCTTCTGCCTTCCCCTTTGCCGTGCTCACCTCCATCCCCCCATCGCCCCCCACCCGCCCACGCCCATGCGCTGCCGATCCACGCAGGCCACGTCCATGTTACCGACTTCAATGTCGCCACGCGCATTCGCGCCGGGCGCCTGGTCACCGCCGCCGCCGGCACCCGCGCCTACATGGCCCCGGAGATCTTCGCTCAGAAGGAAAAGAAGACCGGCTACACCGGGGCCGTCGACTGGTGGAGCCTCGGTGTTGTTGCCTACGAGTTCCTCTATGGACGGGTGCGTCTCTCCCTCTCTCTCTCTCTCTCTCTCTCTCT